CAGCGAGCTTCCCAAGGCCCCGGAGCTCCTGTTCCGCTCCTGGCCCATCAGCACTCCGAAGGATGCGTTGGGGGCGGACGCAATGTGGCCGGAAAATTTGGAGTCAAAGATTGGACCGCACGAGATGGCGATCCACGTGAACGCACACGACTTGTCGGGAACCAAGGCAATCGAGCTAGGAAGGGAAGGGGAGATCCTCTCGCTGAGGTCTCAGGTCGCCGAGCTTCGGGCGAATGTGGCCGAGTTCGATTCGATCGTTAAATCGCTCTCCAACGAGGTGAAGGAGCTCAAGGCGAGAAGCCGGCTGAATGCCGCGCGGATGAGCCCCAAGGAGAAGGCCAAGGAATACTCTGCCACCTACGTGAGGAGGAGAGTCGCTATCAAGATCCAGTCCGTCGCTCTGTCTGAAGGGACCTTGTCAAACGCGCTGGTGAAGCTGGTGATGGGTCAGAGGAAAGCGAAGACGAAGGTGATGTCAGGGACTGTGCTGAACTTCGACCATGTGGCTTCCTTCGAGATCAACGACGAGACTGCGATCGAGATGACTGTGAAGACGACGAGGAGGATCGGGCAGTCCGTGTGCTACGGAACTGCGCGCATCAGTCTGGACAACTTGCAGACTGTGGACCTGCAGAGCATGGAGGCGGAGGGGCTGGGGCAGGTAGAGGTGATAAAACTTCCTCTCAAGGACCCCCATGGAGATTTTCTACCCTGCAAGATCTTCGCGCAGCTGCTGATCGTCAAAACCACGTGCTCCCCAACCAACATCAACGTGCTGGCTGGCACTTGGAATGTGGGGAATGCCGTTCCTTCCGCCGACTTGACAAGTTGGCTCCCGCGGGAGAAGGTGGACCGATCAGGGCTGGTGGTAGTTGGCACGCAAGAGTGCGAGTACAAGCCCCGCGGGCAGCTGGCATGCCATGACGACTTCATGGAGAGCATCTCCAAGTGCCTTGGCGACAGTTTCACCTTAGTCAAGGACGAGTCGCTGGGGCAGATGAGGATGGGGGTGTGGGCGCGGCTTGACGTTGTGGCTGGGATCCTTGGGCTGCATAGCGACGGGGAAGCATGCGGACTGGGGCACGTGGTAGCCAACAAGGGAGGAGTCGGGATCGGGCTGTGGGTGTGGGATACATCGATGGCGTTCGTTGCCTCGCACCTCGCCGCCCACCAGAACCAGACGAAGAGGAGGAACGAGGACTACTCGGAGATCGCGGGAGGCCTGAAGCTCGGGCGATACTCCAACTGCGACCTCTTCAGCCAGTTCCACCACGTGACGTGGATGGGGGACCTGAACTACAGGCTCGACTTTAACCCCGAGGTGTTCGGGGAAGGAGCCAACTCCAAAACCCCGCCCAAGGAGCTGTTTGACACGATCGAGAAGATGGTGCAGGAGAAGCAGTTTGCGGAGCTGCTGTCCTACGACCAGCTCATCAAGGCGAGAGAGCAGCGGGAGTCGTTCCTCGGGTTCCACGAGGGACAGATAACGCATCCTCCTACGTTCAAGGTGGAGAGAAAGAAGGGAATCCAGTACATCTCCGAACGCTCCCCCGCCTACTGCGACCGCATCCTCTGGCGAAGTTTCGACACGCTGATGTCCCAGTGCAGCGACTTGTGGAGCGGCAACGAGGTCTCTTCCTCCGACCACAAGCCCGTGGCCGCCGTTCTGAACCTTCAGCTGAGGCCTCCGCGTCCTCACTGGTGGCCGCTGCGGGGAGTGAAGGGCTTCACGCAGCAGAGGACGAGCTCGGAGCGGATCCACCTGCACCTGCGGCACGGGGAGGACCTGCCTCCTCTGCAGACCTGGAAGATCAAGTTCACGAGCCTCCAAGGTTTTGACTTGCAGGCCAGCGACGTGGGGGGAAAGTCGGACCCGTACATCCTGTTCCAAGGCGACTCCGTCATGCAGCCAAGGTACACGGAAGTGAAGCTGGGAACGCTGAACCCCGACTGGTCCCCGTCGGGACTGCCGGAGCTGAGGCTGGTGGGATTCAGCAGACAAGACCTGCGGTGAGCGAGGGAGAACAGAGGAGGAGAGGGGGAGAAGGAAGGGAGGAGGGGAGTCAAGGGGAGTGAACAGAAGAGGGAGAGAGACGGGGGAGGGACGGGAGGGGGAGGGGGAAGGTCGAGGAGAGGAACGTTTCTGACTTGAAGCAGCTTTGAGCAGATCAGCCTCTCTGTCATGGACTATGACGTTGCCAACTCTGACGATCTTATCGGGTGACTTAGCATTCGAGATGAATGCGATGATGATGATGATGATGATGAGGAGGAGGAGGAGGAGGAGGAGGAAGTGGTGGATGAGGAGGAGGAGGAGGAGGAGGAGGAGGAGGAGGAGGTGGTGGTGGTGGTGGTGGAGGAGAAGATGTTGGTTGTGTTGGTGATGGCCTTGAGGTAACAAGGAGAGCAGGTGTGGGACAGTGAGCTTGAAGGATGCGGAGGACGGACTGAACCAGTTCCAAGTTGATCTTATTGACAAGGGAATCCCAGCAGGAAGACTTGAGGGAGAGTTTGAGGTGAGAGGAGGAGGAGGAGGAGGAGGAGGAGGAGGAGGAGTAACTAGAACGCGCAGCTTTCGGAGGACAAGACTATTCCTTCATCTCTCTTCATCAAGGCCAAGAACCACACGAGATTGCATGGGCCCAAGAGACCTTTCAGAACACTGGTCAGATCTTACAACCCCTGTTTCCTCCTCGTCTCATCTGCTCTCATTTCCCATCCTGCTCCTGCTCCTGCTCCTGCTCCTGCTCCTGCTCCTGCTCCTGCTCCTGCTCCTGCTCCTGCTCCTGCTCCTGCTCCTGCTCCTGCTCCTGCTCCTCCCCCCCCCTGCTCCTGCTCCTGCTCCTGCTCCTGCTCCTGCTCCTGCTCCTCCCCCCCCCTGCTCCTGCTCCTGCTCTCTCCTGCCTCCCCCTGCTCCCCCCATGTCCTCCTCCTGCTCGCCATCATCACCTTCACTTCTATGTCCTCACTCTTATCTCAGGTGCCCTGCCTGAGCAAGAGCAGCTCACATCAGCACCACGGGCATGAGTCTTTTAACTCGACTCATCACAAGTTCAGGTGATAGTGATGAAATGATGATGATGACGATGTTTTTGTTGTTGTTGATTGAGATGGTGGTGGTGGTGGTGGTGATGATGACAATTATGGAAATTATGATGATGACGATGATGATGATGATGACGATGACGAACGTGGTTGTGGTCGTGATGGTTGTTGCTGTTCAAGTTGCGTTTGCTTTCCTAAACTTCCGTCAGGGACTCTAGTTACGACATTCACGCACACTATGATTCATCAACACACCTCCATTGATCATTCGTATGTGCTCCCCCTTGTGTTTGTTGTGTTTTCCTTCCTACGATAGTCCGCTGAAATTTTTCACGGCCGCCTGTTGTTTTGGTCGCTCTTGATCATTCAGAGTTCATGTTGCAGGTTCTCATTAAAAATTTATTCTGATTGCACTAGAAAGAATCAAAAGACAGGTGAAAACAAGAAAGACAACAAGTCAAGTCAAGTCAGCATTTCATGATTTCGCAACGTCACAAAAACGCAACGACTGCTGAAATGTCATCGATGGGGAAAGATTCGATGTTGCTCTGCCGTCCTGTTAGCTGCTATCCTCCTCCTCCTCCTCCTCCTCCTCCTCCCTTACCCCTTGCTCGATCGCCTCAGCCTGGAAATTTTCCCACTGAACCAAGAGTCACTATTCTCCTCCTTTGACTGCTCTCCCTCCCTCGCTTCTCCTCTCCCTCCCCTCCCCTTCCACTTCCTCCTCCTCCCCACCCCCATCCCCCTTTCCCACCTTCCCTCTCCTCCCTTGCTCACCTGTGCTCTCGCGCCTTCCACCAACTCTGCTGCCGCTAAAACTGCATCCTGGAAGAAAGTGATTGGAAAGCACACGAAAGGGAGTGGGCTAGTGTAGGAGGAGGAGGAGGAGGAGGAGGAGCAGGGGAAC